GATGAGGACACGGCTCATTACAGGCAGGTATCTCTGCAGGATGCGGCTTCACATGCAATAACTCCAGATACAGGAGCGTCCACACGCTTCGTAACCGTCTCACATGCGTAAAGGCACGCGCACTCGCACCACTGTCTTTTAGCACGCAACAGTATTCGGACACCCAAAAAGTGAATACGGAGGCTACGTATGTGTGCGTGCGCGCACGTGTCTGTGCGTTTCCTTGATTACGATGTGGACACGTTATTCAAAAACCTGTCTACATTTCACTTCGCTGCGGCTCCCGGAGACACCGAAGTTGAAAGCATAAATGTTAAAAACCGGGTGCGCGCGTGTGTGTGTTGGTCCTCAGCCGGTCGAATTATGTTTATATGGCTGTCAGGTTAAAAAAATACTAAGCAAAAATGGATGCACAAAAGGCTGTCGTACGACTCGGCCAGCTGGATCATTCATTCCGTATAGAGCTGTTACCGTAATAGGTCTCGGCGGACACGCAAAATAAACATCAGCATTCAATTGAACTCGTGCATAGTCGTCAGATGGGTTCAGTGGGCTCAGCTGTCACAAACATAACATCATAACATTATCAGCGACCCGGATGGCCACCTCATCTGCACAGATAAACCCCTTCTGTGCGCTCATGTGTCGATAAAATTTGGATATTATTTACCTTCGCCTAATAATTTCGCCCTCCTTCTCTTCCAACGGAGGTTTAGCAGCAGCAGGTTCCCCCCCGTGCCTGTTTCCCGGCCTGGGTCGCTCTTCAGCCGGCGTTCAGCAGCAGCGTGCGGGTCTCTCCGGTGGTGCCGGTGGTGCTCGCCTTGCAGAGAGAGACGCGGTCATACGCATAGCGTCGGAGCGGATCCAAATCAGGTAGGAGGGGGAGGTAGGGAGGTGTGGAGGAGGAAGAGGAGGGAGCAGGGGGCGAAGAGAGAGAGAGAGAGAGAGAGATTTGCGAGCGGCCGTATAGTCTCAGCGAATCGCTGTTCAGAGGTTAAACGGCCAACGACGAGCGCATGCCAGGCAGAAGCGAGGCCTATAATAAACACGAGACATGGCAACACCAATTAACACACACGACAACGATTATGGAGCACCAGGGAGAAAAAACCAATTTAAGTGAAATCAGCCTTGAGGAAAATATCTGAGAGCTCTTGAGAATAAAACAAGTCGGGATGACTCTTGCTCTTGGTTTTCTCCAGGCAGACACTAACCGCATGGCAACATGAGGGCACTTAACAATAGGTGTTTACAGCATTGCCAAGACCTGACTTGAAAACACTAAAATCGATTATCACACTGTGAAGCAGTTGGCTACCAGCTAAGAAATGCTAGTATAAAAGCCCCTGTTCTGACTGACTGGACACAGAAAATGCTTCCTGTCGTCATTCTATAAAGAACACATCATAGATTCATACTTTTAATGTCACACAAACATTAGGACGCTGTCTTTATGGCCAAAGCTAACCTGAAGATAAGGCTACATGTTAGCTTTTCCATGTTTTCGATATTGTTAATGGAAGGAAGTCAGTTACTTTCTTCAGTTTATCTTTTGGGAGAACATGAACTTTGGACTGAATTTGACACCGAATCCCACCTCAGGACACCCCATGGGGGATCAAGATAAGTCTGAGGAGTAAATGGACAATTGTAGTGGTACCAAAGGCTATTTTTCAATTTTCTATCAAAATTTTTGGGGGGTTTATTGTGAAATACTGGATAGTTAGCTTTTTGGCCCTTAAACTGAAACTAGTTCTCCCACGTGAACGACAGTGCTACAGTACATGTGGCTTGTACCTACCTTCAGATATGATCATTCCACTGGCATAGTTAACTGTACCTTGTTGCCATAATACAACCTGTATGTTTGGGATTTAGGAACAAAAACTACTTGGTCAGGTTAAAGAAAAGATCATTTGGGTTCAAATGCCCCTTGTTTTTATGGTTATAATAATAAACATCTAGTGGCATTCCTCTTGCACACAATAATACATCTACTTTAATCAAAATTCTGCTCAGTTATGAGCTCTCTCTCTCTCAAATTTCAACTTTTACAGATTTTAACTCACACCTAGTAGAGTCATAGAGTCCCATTAGAAAAGGAGAGATATCCCCATTAATATGGTAAAGAATGAAAGAGCAACACAGATACAAGGGCAGACACAGACATATAAACATATGCACTAACATAATGCACACTAGCGCCACTTAGTGCAATACTAATTTGTTTACAGCTGATTAAAATATTCATGCTGCATTAGCAGTCACTTCATTTAAGCCCTGTATGTGTCTGTATGAGTGTCTGTGCCCTTCTCAGCCTCCCTCCTCCACCTGTGGCTGTAGTGTTTTTTTTGTTTTTTGTTTTGTTAGGTTGTAACTGTGTGTGAGTGGCATGGAAAAGGCAGACATACAGTACATCACGGGCATGTACTGTATATGCACCAGCTGGATTCCCCTGCTGGTCAAGTGATAGTGTTACTGTGTTCAGCTCGTTCCTCCTGTTGCCCTTGACAACATTGAGAAGGAAGGGCGAAAGGATAGAAGACATGAGGAAGACCAATGGGAAAACCCACATCTGATCAGAACACCCAGGTTAAAAAAAAGGTTCTTTTCAGCATTCAAGGCCATGTCTTCAGTTATCCTGTTCTGACAGCCTAAACCCTAACTATAGTCAGTTTATATTGATTTATAACAGAGAAGAGCAATAAATCATCACACTGGGGATGGAATCACAGAATAGGTTTTGCTTAAGAACTACCTTAAATGATTAATTGCAATCAACTGCTTAATTATTCAACTAATGATAATGTCGCCATATTTAACTCAAGGTTATGTTAAATTTCAATCAGATCTTTATTAGATTGTTCAAACTGCAAGCTGATTCTTACTTCTGCAGAATAAGCTAAACCAAGTGCTTTTTGTTTTTAGTTCTTCCCGTCTCCAAATTTAATACACTCCCAATTTGTACGGAAACCAAAAAGCTTAGGAATAAGAGGTAAAGCTCTCTTGCTCCCCATCTTTCCGCTGACACACACACACCTCCTTCAAGGTCTCCCAAGGAGCTGTTTACAGGTTGTCAAATTTCCTCTCTTCCCTTTCCAAGCGGCGCACAGCAGGAACAGCAATCAGGGCTGAGCAATAACACAGTGATAGCAGAGAGATAATTAAGGGCTCTGTGTTACACATCAAACCGAGGGCAAATTACTGCACCCTCATTATCATCATGCAAATAGGAACATTGTACTGTTTCATATCTTTTACTCATCTTTCCCAAGCAGTTATCCATCATATTCCTCATTTATCCCTGTAATATTTTGTAGCTAATACATTAGAGGAACACTACAATTGTTGGTACATATTAAATCATTCTGTAATTGCAATAGGTTTAGTCATTCAGCTGATGAAGCTAACGCTAGCGACAAACACTTAGCTAACACGTAGCCAAAACACTAAACGGGGGATGGCACCCCTTAAGCTCGCTAATTAACACATATGTTGTTAAATTCATTTGACATTAGAAGTGTAAAAAATTTCACACTGTACAGTTGTTGTGCTAAATCAAGCTAGTGTCTTACAGTGAGCATACAGATCCAACAGGGATAAATTAAACTATTCCTTTAAACCTGCACTAACTAATGTTTTGGCCACTCGTTGGCAGCTGAAGCAAGATGTGAAGGTTATATTGGCTTTTGTGTTGATATGGTGAAGAAAACACTTGCTTATACATTGTGTTCAGCAGTTAGAGAACAACATTATGATTCATTTGGAGTCAAGTTTCTGGCCACTGATTTCTGGCCTCTAACAAATGACAGTTCTCTGTAGGTTCATCTTTACAAGCAGCTCCTTTCATAGTCATGTTTTTATCATAAACAATTAAAGTCTCTGCTCTTTATTACTATATCATCATTGTCTACATCATCAGGGAATCCTGTCTGCTGTTGACTGACTTGGTGACAAAAGGGAAGATGGGGAATGCCCTAATCCCACTCCTACTGTCATTCATGTTCTCGCCACCTACTGCACAACCAAACCACGAGCTCCTACACACACACACACACACACACACACACACACACACACAGCCTAAAACAGCACAAGGAACGGTTACATCAGATCTTAAAATAAGCCTTCACACAAATACTGAAAATGAGTCATTTAAGAGTGTTAAAAAATGTCAGATCCTGGAACAGTTTGTGGAAAAAATGTCCACTTAAATTCACGATTCAGACTAGTTTCTTTTTCCATTAGTGACACACTGGGTAGATGTTAAATTACCTGTTTGTGTTAAAAACTGATAATTTGTTAACTAGCTTTCAGTTCATTTGCACTCAAATCAAAACATAACCCACGTGAAAATAAAATCATTACTGCTACTGAATTCTTACACAATCATGGTTTTGGCCCCTGCTGAAAGACAACTCTTTGGGCTTTAAAACCAAAAAGTTAAACTCAGTCTATGAGATATGGAACTAAATTTACATAGGTACAAGAATGATGAGAACAATCTAGAGCAGCTGGTGTGCGAGTGTTACCGAAACCTAAAATGGTCCTGCCTTTTTCAAAAATATCTACTATATTAAAGTCAGATTGCATGGCATTCCAGATAATGTAACAATCCCCCATGGTGAGGTTATTTAAACTGATAATGACATAATGGAATAGCACTGATGCTGTATGATAAACAAAATACACAGTTTTTGAAAGCATGCTTAAATTTGAGCATTTGAGGTTTTCACCCCCTTACACACAACTCAACTGTTTAACCATAGGACAATGAAAGTTAAAAGACTTGGCAGGCTTGGACCAATATGCTTTTAAGAGGTCATTATTGATCTGGCATCGACCCAGGGCTTATTGATCGTGTAATTAGAGGGATTGAAGAGATAAATGAAAAGATGGATGGTGCTGTAGTTATCCCACTAATCTGTGCTTGAGCTTGCCACATTTAACACTGTGTCAAACTATTAGCAGCCCACATGATACAGTTTGGTGCCCTTCATCTACCCTATATAGTCTCCTGCTCTGTCAATGCATGCACCATGTTGCTGTTACTATACTGCCACCTAGTGATTTATGCCACCATTAAAAATATATCTACAAAATGAACCTGGAGTGTGCAGCGGAAATTAAAAGAGGGGCATAAAAAAGAAGGTCAGTGAAGGTATGAAGCAGTGAAGTCAAACAATGTGCTGTTTAAGAGCATCGATTTAGTGTGTGATTTCCCCTTTAATCAGTGAGATAAGAAAATCACTGGCAACACCAATGAGGCACACTGAACATACCTTCAGAGAAAAGGTAAAGAAAAGAATCTTTACTATAAAGAAAAGAGGAGAAAATGATAGGGGGAGGGTTGAGGAAAGCAGGAAGGATCTGACATACTGTAAGAAATGAGAGAAAAAAGAAATGGGGAGAGGCACAGTATATATAGAGACAGAGAAATGAAAAAGTGTCCACTTCTCTGTGATCAATTGAAGCTATAAATACTTCTGTGGAATACATAGATCAGGAACATTTGAGTCATCTGCAGTTTGAAGTCAGGCCTAATGCAGCAGGCCTGCTGAGCCACCAGTGCCAGACTGCACGTCAAGCTTTAAAAGCTTTGAGTGAATGTTACAGGTGAACACAGTGAGAGAAAAGTAGGTAAGTGCACTGGTGGCGCAATGAAACTCTAGTGCAGCTTAGAAGTCAATAACGCAAGCAGCAGTTAAAAACAAGGCAGAGATGGGCGTTATTCATCCACAGCACAGAGACGCACACAAGTGAAAAAACAAAGGGGCCATTGTGTGTTTGATTGGCCTGGCTCCTCACCATACTGGTTTCCATGAGAACACAAGACTGAGTGAGCGAACAGGTGGTAACCTCAAAGAGCACAGCGACACATCATGCTAGCGTTTTCAACCAGGCTGTATGCGCAACGCAAACACAGAGCTGCTAATGAAGCAACATGCTGTGATGAGAGTTCACAAAAACACACCCACCATCGCTGTCTGCCTGTCACTGCTGCTGAGAAGCTACTGATAAATTGTAAGAGCTAGACAAGTGCATGAAAAAAGTCGCTTCAAGCCTTTCGTGGCTCAGGCAATATCACTGAAATCTGCCTCCCGTCTGTTTCCCATCATCAT